AGAAGTACAAAAAAACATTATGGCTAAAACCAGGCAGATGAACTGGAAAGAAGAGTGATTCTTTTTTCAAAGCAGAGGATTCCGCACACTATTTCTATGAAATTCTGATGTGGAAATACTGCTTCTGGTAGAAGATTCTTTTTCTTTTTCCCTTGCCATTCTTCCTGTTAGGTTATAATGATCATGAGCCAGTCATTACTCTTAAGATATGTTTTGGATGTTAGCTTCTGCTTGTTTATATTGTAGGGTAATGTACTTTTTTTAGGTATTTTAGTTGTTGTTAGGTATTTTACTTGAAAATTCCTTATAATTAAATGCACTACATAAGTATAATTTTTTTTTTTCTGACTAAACCATTGCTGTCCTAAAAACAGTGAATGAGTCAATGAGGAGATGAAAGAGGTATAAATAGTTAGTTTTCTCTGATATTCAAAGATAGTTTCACTGTTTTTTTAAGTGGTGATTCTGACGTCCACCACACTTGGAAACCTGAGGTAGCTTCAGCTCCTGTGATGTTCAAAATGAAGTCCTTTTGAAGTTAATCTGCGCTGCTTCAGGAATTAACATCCTATGAGTCAGAGACATGATTTGCCTTCTTTCTAGGTTGACATAGAGATGACATGATAAACATGCTGACCAGATAGTTACATTTGTCATTAGAAATTAGGTAATTGTTTTGGGTGTGGAATATTTCCGTAGATTTTAGCAGAACCACCAGTTGCCAAGGTCTAAAAGCATGTACTTAAGGAAGGATTGTCCTCATCACATCCATCTTTCTTCATTCTTCCTCTAAGCAGCTGCTGCTGAACTTTTCTGGAAGCAGAGTACTGATGTAGATGGATATTTGCAATGACTAGAACAGAATTGTTAGATGTCAAACGATGGCCTTTCTTTTCAGCCTGTATTGTTAATGCCTTTTTGCATCCTCTGCTTCAAACCATAGTACAATTTCGGGAATTGGTTGAGTTTCTATTATGCTCTTGTGATCCTCCTTGATCTCAGAGAGATGAAAGGCAGTATGTGATGGCATTATTCACAGTTTGGACAGTTGCTTGTAGAAGTGCTTCAAAGCCTGAGTGTAAGTTTGACACTGTCCTGAGAACTATTTACATGTATAGTCATGATATATTATAAAAGATTATTTAACTCCAGAATGTAATCCAGAGCATATGAAAAAATGCCTTGGATTAGATTTTGTAAATAACCTTTCCACTAAAACCTGACTTTTGGGCAGCTCATTCAGACCCAGTTAAAGTTATCAGAACCATTATCACTCACTTTGATCTTTGTAGGATTGAATTCTGTTTCTGAGACTAGAGAAGTTCAATGCTTGATGTAAATAGTTATTGCATTTTTAAAAGGAAGCAATTGAGTAAATACTGGAAAAATGGAGGAGGAACAAAATGAAGGAAGCTATATATAATGTGTCATGAAAAAAAAAATCCCTAAACCTCCAGTTTGTTAATGAGCTGCAAAATCAAAGGAGGAACCCTGTAGTAGTAGTGTCTCAAAGGATAAAACATTCATTGTGAATCAGAATAAAAAGTTCTTATCCAAATGGCTAAGTGGAAATAGCTAATAATATTAAAGTTTCATTATTAAAATTCAGAAAGAAAACGCTAACACCAATGGATGCACACCTCCTTCTTCCTGAAGAGTGGTATCATGGATAATTGTATTGTGTTTAAAAATTTAAAAAATTGTTTAAAATGGGTTATCAAAAAATAAGGTGAAACAAAAAATAGAAAAGTCTATGTACATTTTGTATGTTTGTGAAACTTTAAACTTAAAGTAATTAATACATACTTTTTGAAACAAATACTGGAAATAAAGTATGGAGGCTACAAAAGCATAAAAGAAATCTTCAGATTAACTAATATGTGTTAAATAAACTGTGTGTGATTTACACACGAGTAAAGCTACAGTATTTAGAAAATTACTTAATTTGGCTTTAGAAATAAATACAAGTATAGCACATCTATAGCTGTTTGTATAGACCATAGCATCAAAAACTGTCATTTTATTTGCTTTGTAATTAATCTCAGATTGTTGTTCTTTAATCTTAGTGAACAATGTTCATAGAAACAGATCTAATTTTAAGCCTTGGGTGTTGGTAAATCTGTAATAAACTTTTCATTAGGACTGTTTATAGGAAAGGTGTGGGCAGAAGTTTGTTCAGCTTAGTCCTGTGAAAATGTCCAGGCAAAAGATAGTAGAAGGGAGTGTTTGGCGATCAATAGTGTTTATTTCTGTTTTCTGACAAAACAAATATTGTTGTGGTATATTTTTATGATATGCTATACACTCAAAGGAGCAAAAGATGTACTTAAATGGTAAATAAGTTGTCTTCTTTTGTTTGTGCATATTTATATCTTTGATTCATACTTTTGTCTTTTTACTGATAATTCTTTTGAACACATAGGACCCTGAATTACATTTTATAGACCACAAAAGAAAGAAAACTATTACTAGTACTAAGTTAATAAATGGCAAACACTGGACTAGGAAAATATTAGTGAGAAAAGTTTAAACATAAATATTAAGTGTATAATTGGGTTATGGTACAACTATAAAAGAAAAGGATTCGATCAATGTACTGCTAAGTGATTCTTGTTCCAAAAAATTTGCTACATCTTTGGAATGTTATTTCTCAAGGGGACTTTTGTTTTGGTTTAGTTTTTTTTGTTTGTTAGTTTGGGGGGGTTGTTTGTTTTGGGTGGTTTTTTTTGGGTTTTTGTTTGTTTGTTTGTTTTTATTTTACGAACTATTTCATCAGAGAGGTAAAAATTCAACTAGCCAGCATGGAGGCTTGGCCTGAGATTTTACATTAGAGCTTGAATAATATTCACTGCTACTGGAAGACCTTTAAGTACTCAGGTAAATAATGGACACATCACTGTACACATGGATTAAGTTGATTGACTTTAAATTGTACAAGAAGTGGAAATCTACTTCTCTCCCACCTGTTTATTCTTTTGCAAACGGAGGAGTAAGAATAATTTCCAAAGTTTGCTATTTTCATATGCCTATATATACCAGCCCTGTTGACTGGATTGTGTGTCCAGTCTTGAAAAATAGGTGAAAAATTCTCATCTGAGGAATTAAAAATATGATTTGCATAGTGTGATTGAGAAGTAAATTTAAAGAGCTCAAGGAGGAATAATATCTATTTTCTGTGGAAGTTTACAGTCAGATGTTGTACCTTTTTCATAGCTTTTCCTTTTGACCATTCTGCCCATAGCATTCAGTCAACTGTAAAACATGAATTGTTCTAGCTTTGTCTCTGCTGAGATATGAACTTGTCAGTCTTTTATGTTCAAGTAGTACCAATGTCACATATTTAATTGATCACTTTTGGGATTTGATTTACTACAGTCTGCTCTCTGGGATGGATTTTTTTTTTTTAATTAAAATTGTGTGAATCAGCGGTTATCAGCATAAGAGTTATCCCACCACTGAAGAGAGATAAATTGTTGTAGATAACTGTAAAAGCTAAGGAATGTGATACATTTTGTTTGTTGTATGCCTCTGCAGTTTATTTACATAGATTTCTTAACACATACAACTACCCAAGACAGGAGGCATGTTAAAATGGATAATGTTATATATTTATCATTAATTGAAATATTGAGGAGGGGAAGAGTGGTTATTTGTTAATAATGAGGGCATAGAATTTTTCTGGATTTATTAAATAAAGGAATTAATCCCAAAACATACTGTAAGCAAATAACAGGAAATTCCAGAAGCAGGGCATCAATCAGATGTAAGAATTCATCCCTTTTAAGATGTGAAAATAAAATCAAACATTATTTTTCAAAGCTTGATCAGAATGGAAGCAGAAAGAGTGATCTTAGACCCGCCATATCCTGTGACCAGTACCTGAACTAACTTTTCAAAATACCTGGAATATGAGATCTTCCAAAGGCCTTGGAAGATCTTGTTCACCAGTCTAAAGCTGTACAAAGTCCTGTTTCCACAAACTACACAGTAAGGTGTCCAAGCTTAGGACCATTTCTCAGGGTCAGAAATTAGTATAATCTGAAGTATTTTATGAATGGGAGGAAGATAGTCCAGTTTTGTAAGTAGACATTTTCAAAAGAATGAACCCCAGGCTGTTTGCTGTTGAAGTAAGAAGAACCTGAATGGCTGAGTCCTGTAAGTCAAGCCAAATTCTTCAGTGGTATTTACTTACTGTATGGGTGTGATTTGATTCTTTCACTTATCAGAATACATTGAAAAGACGTGGTAAAAAGCCTCAAGGACTTATATAAAAAACCAACTCATATACAGGTTGGGTTTGAAACAAAGTCTAGAGTTTTTTTTTTATGAAAGAAAACTGAATTCTACTTTAAAGTGCTAAGGACTCCAATTAGCAACTAATTCTGTCACCCTTCTTCATTCCAACTATTATTGTAGTTTCCCATTTAATCCATTACATCAGAAATAAAACTGTGTAATTGAATCATACAGCATTATATAGAATTTACTTTTTTAACCCAAAATTTCAATGAAAATTACTCACTAATTCAGTTCAACAAGAACAAGTTTGAAAGAATCAGGCACCTACACCTGGACATAAAATACTCAGTAAGTCAAAAACATCACACAAAGCTCTTTATATTCCTTATGCCTTTAAGCACCTTATGTCTCTATTTTTTCAAAGTTTGGCAGTCATTTATAACAACTTGGGTTTACTAACAATGTTGGCATAAAATTACAGGAATTTGAGAAAAGAGGGGTTGCATCTTATGCAAAACCAAAACCCAAAAAGAACCTCCACAACCCACAAATACTGTTGATCTGATTTGTTGAAAATAAAACAGTACAGTACTGCATCTCCAAATGTACTTTGAGTCTGATTGCTCTGCAGGTGGCAGTTCTGATATACAACTTGAAAAGATGTACAAAGTATGTAAGACAATTTAAAAGAGGCTTTGCAAGAGTTATCAAAACTAAACTGATTTTATCAGTGCACTATTTGACTTTGCTCATTCATGCAGGCTGCATTAGAGAAGGAATGGCTAACTCTAGATTCCACCCGTTTCCCTTCAAAAACACTCCTGCTCTCAAACCAGCTGCACTGGCCAAAGGTAACATGTCACAGAAACAACTTAGTCTTCAGTCTTTATTCATTCTTTAAGGATATGCTATTCTGAGGTGATTAATATGACAATTTAGTGACTTAAAAACACAATTACTTTTAGAAGTCTCAGACTTCCTCCTGATGTCCAGATGCAATTTTTCTTTTAGATTTTCTTTCATTTGCTTATTTTTTCTTTATTTTGGATTTATTTCAACACTTTACTTCACAGTAGCAGAAAAAAAGATGATGTGCTTCATCTGCACATTTGGCAATGGATTAAAAATTGCTAGTTGACAAACTACTTTAAAAATACTAAGATCTGCATTATATGACAACAGCTGAATGTTTTCAGAAAAGCTAAAGGTCATCGAACTGTAATGTCTGCTAGATAAACCTTGAAGTTTTGGCTTTTTGTTTTTGCAGGGTTTTGTATTCTTATTACAAGAATATTACAAGCATAGTATTACTAATGTTTTGTTTCCTACATTTAAGAGAAAAGAGTCTTATAAATGTACAATTTCTTATATTTGGGGATGTTAAGTGTAACTAAAGTCAACTTTTTGTCCTATTCAGTTAGTTGAAAGTAACGTCTGTAATGGGCATATCACCATTAAGAAGTCTTTCAGTTATAGTGATAAACTCTGCAAACCCTGGTGCACATTTTAAACTCAAAATTATGGGGATAATCAGCTGCATTCCTTTTATTTCTCTTAGAAGTTTTCTAGGCCTTCAGATTCCAGTGGACATTCAAATAGTTTGCCATTAGCACCACAAGAAGTTTGGCAGTGTGCTAACAGACCACATTCATACTCAGCAGAAAAAATCGATTTTCATAGCAGGTAAGTTAAATTATATTGTTTTAAACTGAATTTAGGTCATTTGGATTTGAGAAAAATAAAAAGGATAAGAAGAACCTATTTTCTGATGCTTTTACTACTTTTGGTTAAGGTGATATTTGGTTAATGTGATATGTGGAGTTAAAATGTGTTTACTTTCTAAAACCAAATATATTAAATTCAGTTGTTATTTTTCATTCACAACTGTAATTAGGAATATAAGAATATATATGTGTAGTTTTATTTATTTAGGTTGGACTATAAATCATAAAACTTCTATTTTTTTCATATCTGTTATGAAATAGATGTTGAAATAGAGATCTTTAAGACTAGATAAAGATTAAAAGGGATTTCTTTAACAGCTGCATTCTATGAAAGGACTGAAAAATATTCTTCAAGTAATTGAAATGTAAACATTTCAAATTGATGGCAGACTTTTATTACACTCCAAGATAAAACCTTCATGGAGTATTAAAATGGATTTTTTTTTTCATCATTGCTTCAAAAGTGCCTTTAAAAGGCACAAACAAGTTGCAGAGTAGCAAAGGCTGCAAAATAGGGTAACCCCAGACCTTTTCTTATTTACTTACCTTTCAGTATTGCTCTTACACTTTGTTTCCAGGTCAGGGAAGGAAACAATGTTACAGCTTTCTAACTGGAAAGAAAAAAAGGAGTTTTTATTTATGTCTGAAAAAGAAGAGAAAATAGCAGAAGAATGGTATGTTCAGCTTTTATTTACACAGTGAGTTCTAAAAATAGGTATAGTATAGTTGGCTGTTGCTTACTTTTTTAAAGTTCCACTTTTGAAGAACCTCTGTTTTCTACCAAAGTAAAAATTATTGTAATTATTTTTGTAAGTGTCTGGGAAACTATCTTAATAGGTTGCAATAATGTAATGTTAAGAATTGCAGCTATCTCTGTAACTCAGAAAGATTCACACTATGGATCAGTACTACACACCAGTATTGTTTTTGAAAAATGTGTTATACAATAATATGCAGCTGGTGTAACATAATACATGTGAAATATTTAGTGAGTCATTTTCTTCCCTTAGGGGTTTTAAGGATATTTCTACTGCACAGCTAGTGCTGAAGAGGGCCCATAAAATGAAACCTAAAAAATACAGTAATAAAAGTTTAGGTAAGTCAACAGTTAAAATAATGCTCATATTGATGTAATTTTTCCTTTCTTAAAATAGTGTTTCCTTTAAAAACTTTGTACAACATTAAACATTAATTGGAATAAAGGCGGAGTGTGATTTAGTAAAAACAACTCAGTTTAAATCAACATATTTCGATTTTAAAAACCATTCTACTGGATTTTGAAGTTAAATATTTTACAGCTATGATAAGCAGAAATTTTATTTCTTCCTGTTCATGTATCTCTTTTTCTCGATGTGGAATTTGTATTTCTGCATTTTGTGTTTCTTGTATTTTCTTCTTGAGAAGATCTTAGGTTAAAAATTTTGACTTACGCAAGAACTATTTATGAAAACCACAGTGTGACATATTTGAAAGTACATATTTACATTTTTTAAATTATATATTTACTGTGCAAATAGATAAAGCTTATCCAATTTCTCATCCAGTTGTGTTCTAGTTCTTCTCAGATACTTCTGATGTCAATGAACCTTCCTTGGAAGTTGTTAATATGATATGCTAATAGGTTGCTGGAATATATTAATAAATGTATTAGTAAAATAATGATAGTACAAGAAACATTTAAACCTGTAAGACCCTAGTTGACAATAGGACCTAATATTAATGGTCTTTAGAAAATGCACCCTTATTTACTTATATTTTGTATCATGCTACACTCTTCTGTATAACTTTGCAAAACTCTTCTGTATTAAGTGTTGAACATATTGAAAGATATTTTGCTCTTCAAAGGGAAAAAACCCAACCTACAGATATATCTAGGCAAAGATTTTTTCTGTAAATTTTTTTCTGCGTTAAATGCCATAACTATGACTAAGACTAAATATGATAAAAATTATCTGTAGTTAAAAAATAATAAAAGGGGTAAGCAACAAAAAGACATGTAATCAGCAAATCATGCTTTGTGGAAATGATAGTATATGGGTAAGAAGTTAAAGTTAATATTTTGAAATCTGCATAGCTTCCATGGTGCCCTACCATGTTACTGCATATAAAAAAAAAAAAAAAGTAATAAGTATTGGGTGTGCAGCTGAGTTTTTTAATATATATTCCATTTTTTGGCCTCTAGAATTTTTAGATGAATAAAACTTATTAGGTTATATCTTCTTTTCTCCATTTGCTGTTTGTCTTATGTTAGTAATTAATTCAGTCGTAGATGTCTGATTGAGCATATCAAATTTGCTGTCCTGTTTTTGTTGTAGTTCTAATGGATTTCTTGGGTATGTTTATGTTCACTTTGTTCAGATTATTCAATATGATGTATGGGTGTTGAGCTTTTTAATGTAGTGCTTGGAATATTCTCAAAGTACATTGCTAGTTTTTAAAAAAATTGAAAAACCTTTTGCCCAATGTTTTTATAGTTTCAAATTTTCTTCTCTTGACACTACCTCATATAGATTTTTTTTGTCTTTCAGACTATTACATCAAGCACAAAAATAACCTGTGTATATAATTTGCCTGTATGGGTTTCTCTGTTGGTCACTGAAATCACAAGGGTTTTTTCAGATGAAGAGAAAGCATAGTTTCCAGTACCAAAAAAAGGCGACTGAAAATATTTTACTCCATCCCTTTTCAGTGAAAAGATTATCAAACTGACTATTCTTTCTCATACAGCACACTGACAGTCAGTCCTTCCTTGGTCTGTAAGGAAATTATTAATGGAAATTGATAATGGAAATCATAAATCAAAACAAGTATTTTTATATTTAATTGATCTTAAAGCTCTGGTCTTATACCAAAAAAAAATAAAAAAATTATCCTGATCAAATATTCTCCATGTGAAAAGGATCTCCACATATATTCTCCATGTGAAAAGAATCTCCACATATATAATTTTGTTTTCCACCAGGTATATCCTCTAAAAGAAATAAAAGTAAATCAGGGTCTTTTTGAGGGTCTGGTAGGAGAGAAGAACTTTTCAGCATTTAAATTAGAATGGACACACCTTATCCTGAGGCTAGCCAGCTCCAGATCAGGCAACTGTAACCAGACCCATTAGGCTGCAAGTACCTTTCCTAGTTCTCTGTGTGGTACAGCTCATGCTAGGTTACTTTTAGCAATTTCAGTGTAACTGGGGAGTGAGAGTTCAGACGCTGAGTCAATTGCTTTGAGTTTAACCCTCCTGAAGCAGGAATTACAAGAGAGATTTTATTCTTTCTAATATTCAAAAGCAGATTGAAATTCATTTGAATAAGTAGATGTTAGCATTGTCTTTTAATGCTCCCATAGAAGTTACCATCCTATTGCCTTCATCTCCACTGAAATGAGGTTCATTTATCTCGTACTTAGTGATATGCATATGGAAAGTTGTAGAATGTAGTTTTAGCAAACTGTTTCTGTTCTTTCTTTTGGATTTCCTCCTCTTCAGTCTTATAATTGCAACTGTTTCCTTTTTAGCTTTCTAATTGCAAGTAGGTGAAGGATGCTAACTATAAGAAAATAATTTTGTTTCTGATAAGCAGTCATACCCACTAGAACGTAAACAACCAGCAGCCACTTAGAAGTGGAATTATGAGGTATCAATAAGAAATTTTCGATGTTATACCTACTTGCACATCTGACAGAGAAGTAAAACTTCAAGCTTTGAGAGACTGCAAAGCAACAGCAACTCCAAAGATTCAAGATACAAATAAATTATAAGCTCTTCACATTAAACCTGTAGCTTTTATGTTGAGATTGCAGTATAATCCCAAACATCTTTTATATTTTGTGTAAAGGTCTCGTTACTTGCAGGTAATGATAAGGTATTGATGGATCCCCTTGGAACAAACTAGCCGTCAGAGTAGGTTTTCTGGTTCCATATGCTGTCAAAGTCCTTTACCTTAGTTAGAGCTGAGATTCACAAATGCAAAGTGTTAAACCAGCTTGCATTTAGAGAGTTATACAGTTGCTTTTTAATATTTTCAAGACATCTGCTGGGTTGGAAACCTGGACTGGATAGCCCTGAACATCTTTGATCCTAAATATAGGTGTGGAAATTTATTCCCTTTTATTTTCCAGATAAAACATTTGTCTTCTACTAGTGCAACAGTGATGGTATACATTTGATATGAGTTAGTCATCTGCATTGTTTTATGAAAAGAAATTTCCTCTTAAAACATAATTCAAAAACAGGCTACTTGTATCTCACTGTAAAAGCACTTATAGTTCTCCATTGCCTAGATGCAAAAGCTAGACTGAATTGCTGAAGTACAAAGTTAAACTCTAGATATGTAGAAGTAACTGAGAAGTGTCTTAGCTCATATGTCTGGCCACATATCTTCACAGTAAAGAAAAAAGTATGGAAAATACTAGCAAGTGCACTGAATTTGTGTTGTATTTCAAGGTAGAGAGAGCTTAAAGTAGCATAGCCTTTGATAGGGAGTGATTCAGGCAAGGCTTATATTGCAGAAGACCAGTCCCACCAACTAATGAGCTTAAGGCCTATATGCCCCAATCCACTGCTGTTATGTATGCTTGCTTATGTAGTTAAAGGCCTGCATTTTACTGATATGAAATGTATGCTGTGTCTGCTTCAACTATTTTTGCTTTGCATTAAGATAATATAAAAAGTATGGGCAAGAAACCAGAAATTTGAAGCCAAGTAAAACTGGCATATCAGAAATATTCCTGTTAACCTGGGTGCATAATAATTCTACAGAAATTCTAATTCAAAATCTAAATACAGCAGACATTATTACACCTCATGGTGCTTAAGTGGATGTGACTCATAACAATCTTAGCTTCCTAAAGATGTATTGGCACAATAGTACCAAATTGCTTGCTTAACTTGGAATTTCCCTCATCCTGCGGATTTTATATTAGCATCTCAGTTAACCTCTTTTTCTTCTAAGACAGCTGAAAGCTTGTCTCTCCTACACTGGTGCATTACTTTTTTGCTTAACCTTTTCCTCTCTGAGGCGCCTGAGTCCTGTGACTACTGGGATTGCTACAGGGTCAGGTCCTCAGGAGCTGGATAGCAATAACGAGGCTTCCACCGATAGCAGGATGACGCTCGGGCAGCTTTATTTCCTCAAGGGCTGTCGTAGGGAAAGGTGGAGCAGGGAGCAATGGGACATAACCTCTCAGGAAAGGAGCTCGCTCTGAGAGCAGTGAGCTGAGGGTGGGGTAAGAAATATATCTGCAACAGGGAAGGAGGGTCAAGGTAGAGAACAACCAATGAGGGAAGAGTTCAGGGGCGGAGAAGAGGGTGAGTGATGGGGTGACAACCAATGGGGACAAGGGGAAGGAGTGGTTACAGGGAAGGAGCCAATGGGGATACAAAGAACAAAGAACTTTCCAGAACTGGGGAATGGCTTACATAGTGATGGACAGGAATGAGGGGAAGGTACAACAGAAGATTGACAACAGGGGAGGTAGGAAGTTACACATCGGTTGCTTCCCACAGCAACTCAGGGGGACTATCTCCCAAGCCCCTTCCTACACCTCTCCAAAGAAAAAGTTATCTTATCAGTGGATCAGGTCCAGCCAGCATGGGTTTAGAAAAAGCCGCTCCTGCTTCTGCCAGCCTGATCTCATTTTATGACCAGGTGACTCACCTGCTGGATGAGGAAAAGGTTGTGGATGTTGTCTACCTGGACTTCAGTGAAGCCTTTGATGCTTCCTCCCACAGCACTCTCCTGGAGAAGCTAGCTTGAACAGGTGCACTCTTTGCTGGATTAAAAACTGGCTGGATGGCCAGTCGCACAGAGCAGTAGCGAATGGTGCTCCATCCAGTTGGCAACTGGTCGCTAGTGGGGTTCCCTCAGTACTGGGGCTGGACTTCTTCAATCTCTTAATTGATGATCATGGGTAGGGGCAGGGGGGCGGAATCGAAGGCAGCCTCAGTAAATTTGCAGATGACACTAAGTTAATCTGCTGGAGGGCAGAAAGGCTCTGCAGAGGAATCTGGACATGCTGAATTGATGGACCAAGGCCAATTGCATGAGGTTTTACAAGATGAAGTGCTGGGTCCTGCAGGTGGATTATGAGAACTCCAGGCAGCACTACAGGTTTAGGAAACAGTGACTCTAGAGCAGCCCAAAGGAAAAGGACCTAGGGATGCTGGTTGACAGCAGCTGAACATGAGCCAGCATGTGCCCATGTGGCCAAGAAGGCCAATGGCATCCTGGCCTGGCTCAGCAATAGTGCAGCCAGCAGGACCAGGGCAGGGATTGTGTCCCTGTACTTGGCACTGGTGAGGCCACACCTTGAATCCTGTGTCCAGCTCTGGGCCATTCACTGCAAGACATTGAGGTGCTGGGGAATGCCCAGAGAAGGGCAACAAAGCTGGGGAAGGGTCTGGAGCACAAGTCCTATGAGGAGTGGCTGAGGGAGCTGGGGTTGTTTAGCCTGGAAGAGAGGAACCTTAGGGGAGACTTAATTGCTCAGTTCTGCTCAGGCATAACTGCTTGAAAGGAGGCTGTAGCCAGGTGGGGGTTGGTCTCTTCTCCCAGGCAACCAGCCTCAGAACAGGAGGAAATGGCCTCAAGCAGTGCCAGAGAAGGTTCAGGAAGATTGTTTTTTCTCTGAAAGTTTAATTAAGCATTGGAACAGGCTGCCCAGGGAGATGGTAGAGTCACCATCCCTGGAAGCATTCAGGAAATGACTGGATATGGCACTTAGTGGTGTGCTTTAGTTGGCATGGTGGTGTTTGGTCAAACGTACTTAATGATCTTGGAGGTCTTTTCCAACCCTAATGGTTCTATGATTATATGGTAATACTTTATGCCACATAGGTAGGAAAAAAAATTTAAAAAGGTAAAAAGCAGCTGAAGTGGACCTTGATCACTAGAACCAGAACCCAGTGATAAAGATATTTCATAGAGGTCAGCAACTATTTTTAGTTGAAGTTTAGAATTTTAGACAACAAATCAATTCTAGTTAAAAAAATGAAAGAAAAAACAGTAAAAAACTCAACCCACCTTTCTCAAATACACAACTCCAAAACAGATAATCCATCTTAACAGTCAGAATGAATATTTGTGCCATATTATTATTCCTTATTACACATTACATGAAGGACCATTGATATTTTCTTAGTAACAGAAAAAAAGCTTCTTTTGTTGTGATTGTCAATTCTGGATAGAAGTGTCTTCTAGGAAATCCAGCCATGGATGAACTAGAGTTCTAATTGCTATACCATTTATGGAACAAAATCTGGTCTTTCTTCCAAGTGAATTTACATTATAGATAAGAATCTGTTGCTGTGTACAACTTTGTCTCTTCATCTCTTTAAAGATGTTGCATTATGTTTAAGTTTTCCTAATTACAGGTATTGCACAACAAAAATGAATGGTAAATATTTTAATTTTTCAGTTTCAGATATTAACAAGAAGTTAGGAACATGGTGCCAGATCAGGCAGTAACTAATCCTTCCATATTTTTTCCATAAGACATCTTGTGTTTGTCCAACTTAACTTCTATATTTTGAGGCAGCCAAAGAATGTACATTAAATTACCTCCCTGGTTTCTAGATTGAGAGCACAGATCATCATCTGATAAACCACATTTAAATGAGTATGCCTGAATCCAGGAAGATATTTCTATGATTTTGAACTATTGGACTCTTTCACAGTTCTCTCTGTGAAATCTAAAACATTTGATTGCTCATCATCAAAGCATACATGCAGTTCATTTCCCCAGCTCACTCAGAGACTAAAAAGCCACTAGTATTATGAAGTAATCTATGTAATATTGCTTACATTTGGGACTAGATAAAGAAAAGAACTAATTTTTAATAACAGAAGAGCTGTAGGCAATTGTTGAGGTGATCCAGGTAGGTACAAATTCAAGTAGTCTGGCACTGGGTTAAATCCATGTAGATTCTTTAAGTTATTTTGCAAAGATTCAAAGATGAATCTTCTGATGGAAATCTCTTAGAAGAGTTTCCATTATTTGCCCTTCTTCTCAGTTCACGGAAGACTTTGCTGCTGCTATTCTTGTGCAAAAATAAATGTTTGAGAAATCTAAGCTGGGACTAATAACTCTGAGTGACTTCACCAAAAATCTTTAGTATAGCTTAACTTTGGACTTGGTGTTTTCATAGAATTGGGTGAGAGGTTGGAAAAGAAAAGATGATATTTTTAAAACATTTTGGAGCAATGTCAATAGACCTACATAGGAAAAAAATATATTATTTCAGGAATTATTTTAAATTAATCAAAATTACTTTGGAAATTTTCTGTTGCATTTTGTCTTAAGGGGTTTTATTTGATTTGTCACTTCGTCTTTGATCATTTATTGAAGAAAGACACTCATTTTTATAACTAGTATAAAGCTGGAAGAAGAAGTCTTTTTTGTCAACACTGTATGCTAGATGTTGGAAAAATTACAATTATAAAAAATAGTATTTTTACATTTTTATTCATGTGCAGGACTTGTATGGCCATGTATCTTAGAATTATAGAACCGACAATAATAATTCATGCTTAAAATATTTTTTATAACTTCTATTATCTGAAATTTCAAGGAAAACTTTTAAAGTATATTGTAATACAATTTCAAGGTATTTTAATCACAAGTCTTACTGTGATTCACTGTCCCAAAATTTTGCTATTCTGATGAACACTAGTCTGATACAATTTTTTTTTAGTTGGACGGCTACTTTATCCATTTATACAGAGTGAAAGAATCTACAAACCTGGCAGTACAGTTTGTGAATAAAATTACCTGTTTATCAGAATTATTCTAAGAATTCATCTTTGAAACTAATGGAGCTAATTGTTATTTATTTTGTTTCTTGGATAGTTTCATTGAATTTAGCTAGTAAAAGTGAGTTAAAATTACTCTAAATATGACATCCTCTGGGTCAACCTGGAAGCTTTAAACATCCTACAACCAAATGAGAGAGGCTCTTGGCCAATTTGAGATAGCAAATTGTAAGGTATCACTAATTCTGCCTTGTGAAGACATGACCTAATTTAGTTCCTCCCCACATGCCACCATTCCTTCATTAGTCAAGTTTGCTGCTTTGTGAGGGGTTAGCACCATTAAGAACATTCTGTCAACCACATGCTGCTGCAGTGTGGGCTGACCAAGTATACTGTAACATCTTGATGTGTTTTGCCAATGCATAATCTCAGAGTTCCACACCCCATTAGAAATCTTCTCCAGGTTTACCATTGATCTTTCCATTCTCTGGGAAAAAGCTGAGGTGTTAGGAGCCCTTTATCTTCCTTTATTTTATAGTTGAAGTACCTACTACAACTGTAGGGAGGTAGTCAAAACCAACTTTACAAATGGTTGTTAAAATTCGCACCTTCTTCATTCATAAGAAGTTGCCCTCCATCTTAATAGGATATTCTGGTCATTCAGAAATAAGAAAACTGACAAACAAAAAAGCTATTTACTTTGCTGCAGTATTGTCATGGTCTTATAAACCTCTCAGTAAACACTAATGAGATCATGTAACGGACTCAAAATTAAGCACAAGACATAAATAGTAATTCTAACGTATTATGTCTGAATCCTCTTTGACTCCTTCCATAACCTGTTTTTCTGCTCTGTCTGTTCTGGCAGTATCTCACATATTAATTTTTGCTACACACACATTCTTTGAGAAAATTTAGATCCTTCCCTTGCCATTTCTACTTTTTTGATAAACTCCTTTGCTTTTTTTCTCCTCGTTACTAATTCTGCCCTCTTCGGACAGTTTTTAGTCATCTTTGTAGACAAGCTTCTTCTGCCTTATGGTTTCTCATATATTCCTGAGAGTGGGAATATATGTTTGGGCTACTGTGTTTTAAACATATTTCTTGTATCTTTTCTTTGGCATTCTGTTAGTCATATTACCTTGCTCCATGGCATATCTACAAAACTCTCTATACTTTGCTCATCATTGTGTATCTGCTATTGTATCTATATTTTTTCAGTCCCTATTTTTTTTTTAGTATTATCACTGGTTTATTCTGCATTGTGCCCACAGTTTTCACATTCCTTCTAATGCACTGTTTCCCTTAAACTCTGACTTTCCTCCTGTGCCAAGCAAAAAATTCTTCCTTCAAATTGTAAATAACATGAAAATCACTTCTCCTGACTTGTGTGCTTCTTGCATCAGTGTAGCTTTTGTTAATTAAACTCTTTTTTTTTTTTTTTTTTTGCCAGTCTAGGAACATGTCTTATATAGATTTATATACAATGATCTGCTCATCTGTACCACTTTGCAAACTTTTAAAAGTAACAGTTAAGAAACAGTCAAGATTTTATTCTTCAGCATGTAGGCTTCTGGGTATTTTTTAATTTCAATTTTTTAATTTTAATTAAGATGGAAGATGGAGGAAGACTAGCTTATTATCTAAAAGTGTAGCCTCAAAAATAAGCTGTGTTCTGTTAACATTTTTAGGTGTAAGTGTCTTAATTTAAACTGTTGAATAATTATGACCCAAAGCTTTTAGAAACACTGCTTGATATGTACCCTGTTAATATTTCTGCTTTAAATTCAGGCTTAAAATCCAGATTTTTAAAAAATATTTTCTGCAAATACATGCTTCAGAGTTTATTTTTAATTTGTAGATGAGTGAGCTGAAAGATCAACAGTGTTAAATTTGCAAAACAATGACTTTGGTTCTCAGTTGCATGTGTATTTATATGGCTTTATTTTAGAAAGTGTAATCCCTTGTGAATATAAAACCTACTTTTATAAGGTATTTTCATTTATTAAGTGGCTAAAAGGTGAAAAACTGCTTGAAGGAATGAATGAGCCAGGTCTGACCTTTGATTTTAACTTGTTCTTGTCATCTAGACCCAGCTGTGCGCCTGGCGTTGTTCAAAAACAATGAAAATAAACATCTCTCTGTGAAACCACCAGGGAAGACACAGCATATAAATGCTGGATACTTTGAAGGTATGAACAAGTATTTCATTTTATGCATATAAGCATATATATTTTGCAATGTCTTTTAAACAGGCTTACTCAAAATAAGAAAACAGTATGTGCAAATAGAAAAAGGCAGAGGTTTAAGGAACTTATCTGTTTCTCAAGTCACAGCAGTGAAACATTTCAATTTCAATTCATTGCAGAGAGCAAGAGGTGCTCCTAGAGCTTAATTCATAGGGAAATTGAACCTAACTTATTTTTTTATTGTTTTATTATTAAATCTTCATCGTGAAAATGTCAAAGCCTGTAAGAGAGATATAAAATACAAAGTACTAGAATAAAATTTCATAAATGAAATATCACTTCAAATTCTTCATTAAATTGCCACCTTTTCCAAAGCTAGACATTAACTCCTAAAAATCCTTAATATGTTTTTTTGGAAAGTACTTTCATAAGTATTCCCCAGAAATTCTCCATTTGACAGAAGGCAAGGAAAGAACATTCAGCATGTAAATATTAGATTCTTTTTCATAAATATTTCACAAATATTTAAACAGTGTAGCTCTTTTACTGTAGAAAGTCATGTTAAACAGTCATTGGTTTCTGTACAATTAAAATAAGGCAAAGTCTCTTTAAAATGCCCTTGTTGTAAGAAGATAATAATCTCCATTTTATATTGTTTTGATTCTTTTTGCAACTCAAGAGTGTACGCAGAAAGTTCTCATCTCTATGTTTTTATCTTTTTCAAAGACATAGTCATATGCTATCTGATCAATTCCCAGTTTCACAAAGTAAAATTACATATACTGTATTAGCACTAACTGTATGATGATAAAAATTAGAACATGTCTGAGACAGGTGTGAAATAAATCGGAGTCTACGTGAATTGCAGTTCAGTCAATTAACTTTGCTGTATGGAAGCTTAGATTTGCCTCACATTCATGAGTCCATGCTCAAATTTATTTGGAAACAATTCTTGGTGAATTCCAAAGAGGAAATATTTTTGTACTATTATTGGCCTTGGATCCAAGCATGAATTTACCTTAACTACAGAAAGTCTGTATGTACTGCACCTGACTGAGCATTCCCCAGTATCTCATATATACTTCTGTGGCATATGCTTATATACATCAGAATGCATCATATGCTGAGGAAACAGGACAGGCAGGCTGCCTGTGAGAAAGTGAATGTCCAACAGAAACAATTGTAGGAATGCTCAAAACCAGAGATAAGCCTGAATACAAGTTCAGTATCCTAAAGTCAGTGTAGGTTTAGGTTAGCTTTCCTGACACCAGTTTATTTGCTGTGCCTGAAAACATTTCCCTTTGTTTTGAAAAGCCGATGTACGCATTCTAAATATTACTGCAGTTACTTTTTGAATTTATGGAGAGAAGGTACCAAGGCAGATTGGATATCAAAAGGCAAGCATAGTGGTGGTGCTCTTAATTATCTTTCATTTCAAGGACCATTTTACTCCTCTAGCAGGCTAATAAACAGAAACTTTTTTTCACCACTCGTGCCTGCTCACATGCAGTCTGCTGAGCCTTCAAGAAGACAAGTAATACTTTTCTGCTTGACCAGAACAGAAATTTGTCCTTCTGCCAGAGTCATTGCTACTTCAGACATTATGTACAGAAAATTCTAGGTTGTGAATTAGAGAGTACAACACACAGCATTTATTTATATGCATGTGACATATCATCAGACAGATATAGGAGTTTCTAAATTTAGAATTAGTAACACTTTGCACCTGCATAATAACTTCACAGAGTTGTGTTATCAGAGATGTCTTCTCTTGTTTCCCATTTCCCCTCTTACCTTTTAAGCATTTCTTCCTCTTTTGCCTGCAATAGATCTCTTTGGGTCTGTTTTGTCATTGGAGTTCTTTCTGTAACAAGGTGGAATGTTTTCACTCTGTATCCATAAATCTTGTGGTCATTGTATTTTAATTCAATAGAACCCACACCTGTCCTTTGTGTGGTGGAAATAAACTTCTTCCATTCAAAACCTTTTACTTTCACAGACTCATAGGAGTCCTTGGTTAGAAAATTTGAACTCCAAATCATCTTCTTCATAAAAAACTAAATAAAAAAAAAAGCACATTCTATATATTCCTTCTTTATTTCTTTAAATTGGGAAATGGAGGGGAGAAGTCAACATCAACAGCAATACAGCAAGTACACACGTGTTATCTGTTAAATAATAGAATCACTACTTTTGAAAGGGGATGCCCTAGGAAGTGAAACAATTAGAACAGTTTTAGATTTTCAAACTGGAACACATCATGGTAATGAATATTTAAGAAATCTAGTTAAAATGAATGATGAATGTCTTTTGTCTTCATTGTGGTTTTGTGTGTAAGACTACAAAGAAGACCAAACTAATAAAAGCATGAGAGATACAAAAATAGTGAAAAAAAATGAGGTTAATATCTGATGCTTTTGTTTTCCTGAGATTATTGTTCTGTCATAATTTTCCTTCCCGTTTTCCTGCTTTGATAAACTGATATGCAATATGCTGTGCATAACTTTAATCCCATAGGATAATGCACACATCTCTAAGTTGACATACATGTTATTGGAAAATACATTTTCAAAATTTGAGTTATTTATTCATAAATATTCAAAATTTATTTTAAAAAAGTTTATTACATTTTGGATGAATCATCATGCTTTGCTCACTGATGCTAGACAAATCCCCACCAGGGACCATTATTTCACATTTGAATCACAGTAGCACACAGAATTTAGGCAGAAATAAACCCCTTTGCAATACAAACACCATGCTAATAGCACAAGGAAATATTATTCTCACAGAGAAGAGTTTACCATTTAAAAATACAGGCAGCATGTGGAGGCAGAAACCATGGGAATGCAATTCAGTGCATTACTGTAAATGTCAATATATCTGTGTCTGTATGTGTCAATGTATTTACATGCAGTACATGTGTCTATACTCACACAAATATATAAGCATATACCAGGAGTGTAATTAGGTATAATAATTCAATAATTGTAGCACTTATGACTTTTTATTTGTGTATTTTAAAGGGAAAGTAAATTTTGAACAATTACTCTTTGGTGTAATTAATAGTATCAACATGCATTTTGAAATCCTAACATTTTCTGTCAGACACAGTTTCAGTTTATTTAAAATTAGTTTAATGCATGTATTCATTGTATTATAGATACATTTAAACTATTAGTTAAATAAAAGTATATTTGAATCTTTTTTGTGACATTAACTTGAGTAGGTTGAAAGTGAGCCGTAGAATATGAAAGTATAAATATATATTTACTGCTTCTCATAAAAAATTATACCCTGATCAAAAACCTGAAGATAGATGAAATCCTGACTTGATGTACTCCTGATGATTTGCTGGACATTTCCTGGGACTGTGTTTATTGCACTGCTTTCTTTGGTGAGATAAGGTTATGCTTCCATCATGGTTGTTGAGTTTCATTTAGTTTCAGGTAGCTGACAAACAAAATATGCCTTCTTTAATGAATATTCTTGTTCAATAAATGTTCTTGGAGATATATTTGTTGTTTGTAGATGGTGACATTTCAAAGCTCTCAAAATTCTGGAAACTTTATACGGCACACAGATAATTGTCATAATTTCCTATTTTGCATCAAAGCATATTTTTTAGAAAGCTTTATGACTACTTGTCCTCTTTTTGTCTGGAGGCTGTTTCAGTTCTTAATTTAATGTAAAATAGTCTTGACTGTTTTGGGTAAAGTGCATCAGGAACTGAAGGAAAAATCTATCCTTGACTCCTCTTGGGAAGTTCCAATTAGTCCTGGCTGAACGTGTAACAGAGCATCTCTGCCATCTGTGGGTTTGTAATTACAGGATCTGTAATTTCATTTACATAGAGAAAGGATACTTTTCTAGCCAACAGTGTGAATACTTAGTCCCAGTACAGTGGCTGAGAACTGAAGAATGAGCCTTAAGGCCAAGCACATTTTTTTGCTACAAGCTTTGCAAACAGTATGTGTCTTTTGGGGTCCTCTTTAATCCAGCTTCCTCAACGGTTTTGGTGGGTTATCCAAATAATTTTTGTTCAGTGGAATGGGAAGCTGAATTCCAATCTGTGGAGCAAGTTGGAAGAATGCAGGAGATCAGATGAAAATCCGTTTAAACTATCCAAGTATTATTTGGATATGATTTACTTTATTTCACGTAATTTCATAGATTGTGTTCTATTTAATTTTGTAGGTTAGGTGATTTATTGGCATATATACTATATTTATTTTTAGTCATATCCATATCCATCTGTGACACATCCATACCATACACTTCAAAGTGGAAGCAGTGCAATGTGGCTTCATCTAAAAATGTGAACAATGATTTATGCCTGGTGGTTTAACTGTATTAAAAATACACCAGGCTGTGTTGACAAGATATGTTTGCTGTAGTTTGGGAACCTGTAATTCTGCTTGGCAGTACTGTATTTCCTGTCATTTTAGGCTCATGGTGACCAAGGAAAATGTAGTGGGTATAGCGTTAAGACCAGTTTCACCAGTACAAATTTGATAATGAATAGATTATGCTTTCTCAGGTGACTTTTAATTATGGAAATATTTATTTATTTCTGTTGAAATTGTCAGTAGAAATAACATATATTTTTCAAGAATAAGAAATAAAGTGAGCTTGTGATTATGTCATATGATTTAAAGATAAATATCAAGGAATCCACTTAGTCATCTGTTTTCTAGCTTTATAATATTTCCTAATTGTGAAACTCCTTATAGTCTCAAGCTAAAATTATTGCAAAACATTCTTATAGATTATTATTGCTAGTGATAATTGAAAGTGCAAATGTGAGACTTTGGAAAGTTGGAATTTAATGTTTTCTATTAGTTAATTCTGTGAGTTCATGAAAATATTGTTGCACTTGATCAGTGCAACAATAGTTTCTTAGATTTTCTGTATAATAAAATATGAATACATTTTAAAAAACCTGTGTATGACATTTAATATATTTTGTATTGATTCAAATCACTGATGCTTGACAAATCACATCTACATGACAGTTAAGAGAAGGTACTGAGGCTGGAATGCTAGTATTCATCTTTATATGGGCTTTAAATGTTTTGTTGTTTATTATGTAAGAGCATGTAAAAAGACATTATAAGTGAGAATTTGTGTTAGTTGTTTTCATCTTCTAGAAATCAGCTCTTTTTAATGGAGAAATATTAATGGCATCAATTCCCAGGCATCACAGTGTTTGTAAACATCCATTTCTTAAGTAAGTTGCCTTTTATTGATCTGTTATCCCAAAAGGATTAATAACCATATTTGAAATCTGGCCTCGCTACAATTCTATGAGTTGAATTGCCATGTTTACAGTAAACTGTAACTGGTACGTATCTCCCAGGCTCTAAATTTGTATGCCACATTAGGGAAGCAGTTTCTAATCCATATAGCACTGACAAAAATGACAAAATAATGCATTTTCAGAGAATATAAGATCTGTCCTGAAATGTAATGAAAATGTGTTACAGAAACTTGCAGTGCAGAAGGGGTTGTATCTTTTGAAATCATAATTCTATGGCTTTGTTTCTTATTATTTAGTTTGAGCGCACACAACAGAACTCTTGCATTGAAATATTTTCTCATTTTAAGGAATTAATGGCTCTCCACCAGCCCTTCAACATGTAAAATGAGTAGGTTACTTGTGTCCAGTACATCCAAAAAGAGCCAGGATAAAATAAACATAAGGAGTTGGATATCTTGGAAAAAATCTGTCATGGGTTTGGGTTAATCATCTCCAGAAGAAATTCAACTTGATGCCTGAAATGTAAGACTTCTTGGAGAAAGCAGTAAAGCCTGAGGCAGTGTTGATCTGAAGGAGTGCTCTCCATGGGTCAGAGCTGCTCTGCTGGCAGAGTGCAAACCCAGTTCACAACAGCGGTACGCTGCAAACTTGTAAAGGACTGCAGGGGCCTTACAGTGCACGCACTCAAGCTTCGGTTACATAGTTCTACTGGTCCAGTTTCTTATTATAAAATAAAACTGAAAAATAAAATCTGTGCCTAATTTTCTAGCCTCCTGTCTGTCAATGATAGTGTAGGATTTTTTCAGTATTCATGGAATGAAGTAATCCTGAAATTATGTTTAAAAATTAATATGTAAAACATAATTTATGTGGGTTTATGCAGTGCACTTCAGTGTCTGAATATTTAGTATTTATCTAGAATTTATCTAGACATATGAAATTTTTATTCATATTCTTATATTCTTGCTTTCCACTTTCAATTACAAAAAAAGAAAAAACCAAACCACTTATTTTTGCCTGAAGTTCCTGGACAGGAGATACTTACCATAGATGCATACCAGCTAAGATGATGAATTCCTATTGTGGTTCTAGTCTTCAGGGTTCTTGAATGCATATATTCAAGGTTTCTGACCACATATTTCACCTGCCTGTTTCTTTCTCTTTGTTCCTGATTCTGCTATTTTGCAGACTGTTGTAATTTGTGGTAGCATGAGGATTTTATTAGTGTATCGGATATGAATGTGGTCTCTAACCTAGAGAGTGTTTGTTTGTTCCAATAAATTTCCAAAACTAGGATTTTGTACAGTGCATAGGTGGTTACCTGTGCTTTCATAACATATTAATTTACCTGTTTTTATTAACCTTAAAGGAACTGAACACAAGAAAAGAAAAATCTTACTGTTCTTTTGCTAATAACTACCCAGTGTAGGTGGTTACCTGTGCTTTCATAACATATTAATTTACCTGTTTTTATTAACCTTAAAGGAACTGAACACAAGAAAAGAAAAATCTTACTGTTCTTTTACTAATAACTACCCAGTGATGACTTCAGTAGGAGAAATTTCACTCAAAATGTCATCAGAGGTTGAGAACTACTTTTTCTCATTGTTGAATAAGATGATATAATAGTTCAGATAGTTTTATTTGCATCTTCTTCAATTTTGCCTTTCTTTTTTCTCCTCTTCTTGGTATTTTATGTCCAAAATTTTTGTAGTGTGATATCTGCATCTCAGCCAGTGTAAATGTAAGCAAGTTGATTCCTCATTCAGATCCACAGCTTTTAATACTGCATAAGGCAATCATTTTGGATGAATAGATCCCTGAGTACTGAAGCATTTCAAATCCTTTTTCATTTGACCATTCAGTGACCTGATAACTATTTCCTGTCCCTAAGTAAGGTCATGACCCAGGTCTTAGAGTGCAAAAGACAGATAATTTTAGCAACAAGTTAAATCCAAATGGATTTGGTTGGAGGGGGTAAGGGAGAATAGGTTTGGTTAATTTCCTTTAAAATAAAATGTTACAAAACTTGTATTTAGCATGTCCTGTTAAAAGTAATTATTGAATTTGTTGCTGTTGTGTTTGGATGCCTGGGGACTGCAGTCAGTATTGGGGTGGTTTGTTTATTTGCTTTGCTTTTACTGGACAGTACCCAATACATTTTTTTTTACACTTCAAAAAGCAATTGCTAATGAAGAGGTCATTAAAAGTGCATATTCAGATACATTCAAAGTGCTTTCCAAAATGAGTGTTTCAAGCACTAAAATCATATTACTATGCAAATGGTTTTTAAACATGGGCCATGGAATCTGTGTCACAAATGTTACATTGCACAAATGTTCCTCTTGCAAAAGAATTTCCATTTGGTATGATGATATGAATAAGAAATAAAATGTAGCCTTAGAAATATTTTATAGGTACAAATCTTGTTTCAATCGGAATCTATGGCACATTTTAAATCCCAATTAAAGGAATGTTTTCTGTAGCTATATATTTTAACAATGGCATTATTCTAAGCACTTTCAGAGGTGAAGTAAAGGAAAGCTTTCACACCAGAGCTTTTAATTAATTTGAAAATATATTAAGTTTGCTTTAAAGAAATTTCTTTTTTCTCTATTCTGTAATGGGAACTATGGTGTTGCGTAGAATTAGCATTATCAATAAGGTCAGAAATCTACAGCATACCAAAGAGGTCATTTTCACAAGTTTAATATTAAACACACATTGAATTATCTTTCTGCTTTTATAACTAATAATGTTGTTGTTCAGATATATTTTTCAAGCAAAATATCAACACAACATTAAAATTGAAATAGAGGAATTTAAAATTTTATGCTGTTCAATACTAACTCTTAGAGCAAAGTTCTATAGCTTTTATAGATTTCATATAATCCAGAATTGAATGTGCAGTGAACCTACCTAATTTTACAAGGAATTCCAAGTAACTCAAGTACTTTAATGAAAATGTACAATTATGCAGTGATACCTATGCAACTTTTATGGTGTGTTATTTCAGTAATGTAAATGTTCCTACTTTATAACTTTGCAGTTCAACTCTCATCAAAGCATGTTAGCAGTTACTGGAAATTCATAGGTTGGTGCTAGTTTGATGTATGCATCACAGATATTTTATCTGGCTTGTAAATATAAAAAAGGTAGAAATTCTGAATTTTGCAGTTACATATTTTTTCTCATATTGGTAAGGAAGTCTGCATTTCAAGAAAATATTTTTGAATACAATTTTGTTTACATGACATTCTAGAATTGTTCTCTCTTTTCAAGTGTGTTATCAGGTTCCCAATCCATCATGGTTGTAACTTCATAAATTAGCACATTTATAGAATGTTGTAGATAACCAGTCCAGACAATGAGATAAAGAAATCCAAGTACCCAGACAAAAGAACTTAATTTCTGTAATCATCATTAAGCAAGTACATTATGAATAACTGTATTTTTAATGGTTGCTAAATGCACACTGAGCATTAGGCTTACTAAGACCCTTACTGTGGAAAGAAATTTCTCTGAAACACATGCATGCTTTTTTATTTCCTGATAAGAAGCAAGCTCAGCAGTTTTCACTTTATGAAGAAACCGGTGATATCTCTTATGAAAGATAGAATGTAACTTTTAAAAAGGAGGAATTTAAACTCTACTGTGTATTTTAAAGTTAAATTTACTGAGTATTTGCTTTAGTACCTGATGTATATTTTGTAATTGAGAAATTAACGGTGAATGTAAAAAGAAAGGAAGCTATGTGCCGGTAAGCCAGAAAGTTCTGATTTAACCTATCACTGACCTGGCTTTGTTTGTTCAGATGACAGTTCTAAAAGTGTGTAGAGAATATTCCCTTTTAATACAGTTATTTGCCACAAGCCGTGACCTCACTGCCTGTCGGGGAGCAGGTCTGAATTGGCCCTTTCTCTGATATCGTGACATTGCTTCTGTTGCCTCGATTGTGACCTCTGATTGCATGATACCCCTGAGAGTTCAATTTAATAAGCGTGACTCCTGACTCTTAGCCAGGTCTGCCTTCTTAGGTTTTGTCAGACTCTACTTGTAGTCTGGTCTACATATGCTAAAACATTGCATAGGCTGTCATCATACTGTGTGAGTTGTGTGCACTGTATTCAAAATTATCTTTCAAATGTCTTTAATTTATTGCAAATGCAAATGTTTAAAAAGTCTTTCTTGGAATAAATTTGAAAAGTTGTTTCTTTCACATTTATGGCTGCTTGGGATTTTTCAGTTTTGTACCATTGTACAGATAGTTACTACTGTTTCACTAAATTACTAAGCATGTGTGCTATCCATGCATCATACTAATTTCTTTCTTCCAAATTTTATTTCCCCTATGAGTGTTGTATATTTTTATTACTTCCCATACAATACGTTTGTTCAATATAGAAATATTAGGGGCAAATTCCTTTTTCTCATTGTATAATTAGTACAGTCACACAACAAGGCAGTACTGGTGAGCACCCAGAGCACTGTAAGGTGTAGTGATCCAGGACCAGTCAGGTGAAAGCTGAAGAATCTATTTGGAATCCAGGAGAAGGTGAGTAGAATTAAAAGATTTTAAATACAATTGAAAATAAGTTATCTTGGGTTTAGTGACAATTTTGCTATATCATTGCATTCTTTTCTCCTGTTTTCTTCCTCTTCTAGCCAGAATGCTGAAGAAGAGTCTGTTCTGGGACCTGGATGCCTTAAGGGTGACGATGTTATTCAGATATTTCTCCAATTTTAGTGCCTCTTGATGCATTCACTGAACCAGAATATGGAGAAGTGTAAAGATTGAAAGAAAGTTTCAAGAACTGTGGTACAAGTTACAGACGAGTTTCTGTATTTATTTACATGCATTTTCTGTATTTTCACTGCAGAGACGTACCCATTTTTCTAGCCTGTGTATCAATACCCATAACTTAGTGCTTCTAAAACAATTATCATTTCAGAAGAGCAGAAAAATCTTGCTGAACAAAATAATGCTTTGGGCTTAATTTTGTAGTTACATTAAAATCTTTCTGTAAATATTTTCATTTAATACTTTATTTCTTCAAATGCTTTAAAAAATTCTGTTAAGCTTTTCAGTCAGATTAATTTTTATTAAAATTGTTTATTTTGTATGAAAACTACATTAGGATCTTTCTTATAAAACAAGTTCTATATAAGGCAGAAAGTGGGTATTTTGTTCCACTCAAACATGGCAATGAAATTCTATTCCTTCTTCTTCATGACAGTAACTGTTTACAGTGAAGTAAAATCAAGTAAAAAGTAAAATCTCAGTTCAGCCAGGTTTTTTCTTTTTTTTTTTTTTTTTTTGGTTCACAAATTCTCATTAAAGATTATGTAATTTTAATAGCTGCATTTAGTCTCTAAGGTTTTAAAAGTCATAGTATAATCATCTGTTTCCTTCTTCTGGAGTAAATAGTATAAGATTAGCTACTGAATTTGCTTAATCTTTAGTGAGAGTTTGCCTTCCTATTTGAAATTTATGAGATTTCACTCCTCTCTGGATCAGACCTTAATGCTCTGTAAATTCCTGTGCTATTGGCAGGAGATTAGCTCATCAGCTGCAAACAAGCAAAGTTACAAGTCAACAACCATTTTAACCTGTTGGTAAAGCAAATTGCACTTTTAAATTAATTAGGTATGGCTGTCTTAAAAGCTGTTGCAAATATAAACAGAATGCATATGAGGCAACTTCACCTATTTGTAATCATCATAATATTTAGGTTGTTCTCACCTTTTCAAACAAATTTTATATATATGTACACACATATGTAAAGACAGTGAGTAGGAGAGTTTGATAGCAAGTTTATATTAAAAGTTTAGTAAAAAGAAACTAATTTAAACACACCTACAATAAGCATAAACTGTTTAAATTCAAGATTAGACACAGTTAAATTATGTTCACAAATAGAACTGAGGGGTTTGTGTTCATCTTCCTACTAAAAAAGGATTTGAATAAAGTTCTAAGCAAAATTCTGTAAAAGAGCAGGAGGAGTCAGGGCTAATTTATTCCTTTTTCAGCTGATTTCTTCATGCAGTAGGTAAATAATTCAAACCTTTTCTGCATGGATAGAGAAAACCTGTGCCATTGAGACTATAACTGATCCAAAATCAATGTCAGTCCCATACCTGGGGATATGTGTTGATTTCTCTATAATTATATACAATGTCTTGATTCTTGTTTGTTTTCGTGTGTTTACCAGCTGAAAATCACAGTTTAATTAATGAAGAAATCTATACAAATACTAAGGTCTTTGAGACATATGTATTGAGAATTAACCTGGGGCAACTCTTAGGCAAATTGTGGTTTTCTTTTGCTTTTTTTGCCTGACCTTCTCTACAAATGGAAGGTTGGTTTTTTTTCATAGATCTACAAGACACTGGAATTTCATATTGTTTATTGTCTTCCATGATGTATCAACCAATTAAATATAACTCAATAAGAAGAATTAGTACTTTTATGTCTGTATTTATTTATAGACACTCATAAGTTTAATGTTTATTGTTGTTTTTAAGCTGGATATAAATATATAAGAATTACACACAATTGGGGATTAACTAATTTTAGATGTAGAGTCTTAAGAAAAAGAAAAGACTATGAGTCTATCTGAGACTTTTTTCCCATTTAATTAAATGAACATTAAATCAAGTCTTGTTTATACAATGTTTGACATAATGATAGGCCTGATCTTCAGGGCCTAAAACGTATTGGTTTTGCTATGAAGTAAATTAAACAGCAGCCTTGCACTCGGTGTAGACTTTGTGTGTATATTTGAGAATGGAGAATAGTTCTGCTGTTACACATTACTGTGCTGACAGAGCTGGGAATTGTTGTCACACTATGTTCATCAAATACCAATAGATATTTCAGCCAGCATCAGAAATTGAGCCAGAAATAGTTCTACTCAAACAAAAGAAAACCCTTTTAAATTGAAAAACATTAATATCTTGACCCATCATATCTACATTATATATATTATATAGATAGAATGGATAATAAATCCAGAGGCATTCATAACTAAACTATGTATTGACATTAGTACAATAATTTTATTATTTCACTTGCAGTGTTATTCTGCAATAAGTACCAATAATGCATGCTACTATGGTACTTCATATGTGTTGATGAGCATGAGTTCTTAAAACAAGTTCTATTATTCAGATAACTTTCTAGGAAAGATGTGTATTCTCAAGAGTAAGTATAATGAAGACTTTTTAAAAATGAAAATTCTGAAGCTGTGACACAAAATTACAACATTTAATTATTCATAGAAGTATGAGACAATTATTAATGTGATGTAAGTCAGCTTTACTGACTAAATTCATGCTGCCCAGAGTAATGACAGTTTTTTTGTTCCTTTTAATACTTGGCATATGTATCTTCTTGTCATATAGAAACCTCTAGTTTTTATTTTGAAAAAAATTTTGTTGGGTTAGAATTTTTCAGTTCCTTTCCCGTACTTTTAATATCTTCACTACAAATAAAACCTACCTTAATGGTTGTCACCTCAAAAAAATCGATTATATTGTGTAGGTTTCGCCCTCTTTATGATGAACAACATAGTAGTTAGACCTCTTGCACACTTACAAAATGTTCCTTTTTACTTGTTATTTTGAGAATTCCTTTGGAAGATCTTAGGTCTTAAATAATTTTACTTGGTTTATTGAATTTAGAAGAAGATACTCCTCTGGTTTGGACTACATATAAAGTGATATCTCTTCTTGCTTGGAAATACCATTTCATCACTGAGCAACTAAACACTTGTGTCGAAGTTCTAATTGCTTGAGTCATTTAAGAAGTGGAAATAGATAGAAATAAAATCTGTCAAAATATTCTGTAAAAAAGGGGGTTTTATGTAATGCATCTCTTATTCTTCTCCTCAACACTAAAAAAATCCTCTATTCAGTAGAGAATATCCATCACTCGGGAGTTTATTAATTCCCAAAGTTTATGAGAAGAGCTAGAGATAGGGTGTGTGCTAGGCAGATTTGAAATTTGAGACATGGAACTGTGTGAGAGTGTAGGCACTAAGGATAAACAAAATAGGCTCAATCTACTTCCATTTTATTTATACCTTACATTTACTGATGGATAACTAAACATTGAAGTGTTGAACGTACTATTTCAAAATACTTTTTACTCCTCTTGATTTCTTCAGTTCTTCAAGAGCCTTGACTATCCAAAGAACTCTTGGTAACTCTTGGCTGTGCTCCAGACTCACTTCTCAGCAGTGCTGTTGATGAAATTTGCCTGTGCAGAGTGGCTGAAGTGGGTACTATATAGGCTACATAACACTGTGTTCACAGAAGACTACACAAAAGAATAATGTGCAAGTATGGTATAGCACTGTAAAGTCTTTCATGTTCCTTTTGAATTTGTAAATGCCTGAGTGGGTCCTGAAGCATGCTGATTGCAGGTAGAAGTAGTTTACATCAGGAACTCTTCCTCTGCATGTGGATAGCGTATCACCTCTGTAGTTTCTTCATTTTTGTTTTTGGCAGGGATGTTTTTGAGGTTTTTTTAAGAACCAGCTAAGGTTTTCAAACATAAAGCAATTCCATATTCAAACAGTCATATATTAGCAAAAAAACAAAATTGAAATGAACAGTTGTCTGTAAGGTAGTTTCCTGTACATACCAGGTGAAATAGTTTTTTAGGTTTATACATCAATGCAGAAAAGTGTCATAGGTCTTAGGAAATATCACAACATGAAACTGCTGTTTATTATGAAGGAAATTATGGAAGATAAATAAGAAATTGTATTTAATGTAAATGGAGGAGTAAAGGAAGCGATAATAACCCATAAAAGTTGCAAGAGTTGGTCAAATTGGAAGGAAAAATGTTTAATGATATCTTGATGTCAGTGCTAGGAAAATGAACCTTATCAAGCAATTCAGGTGGAAATATACCATCTTACAAGAAGAGTAGAAGATGTGAGCATTTTAATACAGAGTGGTAGTTTGCGATGTATTTGTATGATCAGAGGGTTGCAGTAGAAGTTAAGTAATAAGGAGATCCTAGAAGGAGTTCTTTGATATTACTGGAATATGAATAGAGAGAGAGAAATAAATTCAAAATTATGTTTTAAAAGTACACCATTGGGGATGAAAAAAGATGTAGGAAAAATAAAATGTTGAGTTTAAACAGTAAGCTAGGGACAGATAAATAGTAGTGGTGTATTCTGCAGGGGCAGGAACAAGTAGCGAAATAGAAAATAATGGGAAGGTGCAAGTATGGAATCCTGTTTTCATTGAATTCAGAAGCTGAAATTTGTACTTTTTCAGTGATGTAGGAATCTCAACTAAAGGATTCAGCTTTTGCATAATCCAATATAAGACATCAAAGAGAGAGCACAGAAAGCACAGTCTGAAATATGATAACTGCTGAAATAGCATTAACTTGTTGGTGAAGACATTAGAGAAGAAAAGGAGGTTTGCAGGTCAAATGGTAACATAGTAGGCCTTTTTTGTAGTTTGAAAAAAATACAGAATACCTGGTATAAAGAGAAAAAGAGCTAAAGTTTTAGGGAAAACCCTCTTTTTAATATTTTCTTCCTTTCAATAGCTACTTTTATAATTTTTGAAAGAGATTCTCTTGTACATTGATCAGCACTCCCATGTTCAAAACTCTTTATTGAGTGATAATTTATAAAGTATTTAATAAAGCATTTTTAAGCATCAAAAGTTATATTTTGATGCAATACTTAACCTGAGGTAGTATTCTTGTGATGCAATTCTATTTCATCTTTTATTCAGCTGTGAACTCACTCAGACACTACTATTAGTATTTTTTTCATTCATTCTGGTCCTAGAGATGGAAGTCGATATAGTCAGATGAAAAAATATCTTCTAAAAGTAACTAATATATCAAAAGAAAATGTTTGTAAGGTAGAAATGTATGTACCCCATTATCTGAAAATTCCAGACCTGAGTTGTAGATAAACATCTGGGATACTAGAAGTTGCAGTAAGAACTCTGTACCAATTTCTGCCACCTGATGTTGCCAACTGTCTTGAAGTCACATATATATTTCTACCATAAATGTAGAAATGTAGTCACAGAATACCTGTAAGCATGATAAGGACCACTCTAAATACCATTCTTTATCCAAAACAATTTGGGCTCTCTTGTGATTGCTATGTAATGGATGTGAGTATTCAGTGACTCCTGACAAAGTGCATGTCTGACAAATGTTTTAAGTTCTCTGTAGAAAAAAAGAAATTCCTATAATTTCTCATACATTCTAGTATATGGCTGGGTTTTGGGGTGAAGGGCAGTGGGGTGTTGTAATTTTTAAATTATTGTTGTTTTCCTTTCTTTACAGATACTTCACTTTTTTGCCTTAATAGCAGGAACAACTCATGTTGTTCTTACTTTCTGTTCTGTGTGTATTATACAGACTGTGTCAGAAATAAGATTTTTTGTTGTTTTTATAACATGAAAAAAATGAGATTAAAAAGTTGGATTTTAGATTTGTGATTTCAAGGTAATTTATAAATGTGTAATACACACATTATATATTAATGTATAGAAGACAGTAGAAATTAGACTATATATCGAGAAAATTAACTCTTGTCACAGATTTTTTTATTAGGGGAGGAAAACTTAGGATGCTGAAGAATTTCCAAGCCCTTCTTTCACATTGTAGGTCTTAGGTTTCTTAGTCTTTTATTTGTATTGTACTCCCTATGAAGCAAGGTTTGAAGTGATTTAAGTCACCCTCTAAACTCAAGATTTTAAAGATTCAATACAATGCAAGCTTATAAGCATGATAAATTAAAGTTTGACCTTTTATCTTCCCATCATCAACAAATAGATTTGGAAAAAAAATTACTGTGTTGAATCAGGTTCTTTAGCATCCTTTTGCATATGAATCGATGAAGAGTGGAATAGCTGTCATTTACTACAACCAAGATTGGTGTTTTCCAGGCACAGAACTTGAGTTCACTCTGAATGCAGACATTGTGTAACCATCCTCCTTCCTTTTGTGTGCTGGCTGTTAACAGCACTTGCCCTGCCACAGGGAAACATGGGTTTCAAGTACCCCTTATCCTGATGAGATTTGAATCTCCAGCTTCCACATGCCAGACTATTTCCTTGGCTGTGTTTCAGTCCTCTTAACAGTGACAGCTACAGCTGAGGGCACAAGATCTATATATCTTGGAAGAAAGAAAGAAAACTGACTCCATGTAAAATTTACTTCACCTGAAATAGTCCGCAGATTCTTTGCCCCTCTCCTTTAGTTCACTTAATGGATTATACAGAAATAGTCTAATTTAAAACACATAATAGCACCCATATTTTATACTGAATGTGAGTCGTCCTGTCTCACAGCACACTCAGCAAACAAATTTGACTGATGAAGGATGACATTTTTGTGAATATCAAAGTTCAGGTTCTTACAGGTTTGCATGGGGATTTGGTGACCCAGAAAAGAATCTGTTACTTTCCTGTAATATGCAGTTCCAAAGATATTTCAGATGCCAGGGCTTTTCTAAGTTCTCTCTATTTAGATGCTCAGATTTTGTGGAAATTGCCAGTAGGTGGCCCTGACTGCTGCATTGTATCTGGCCTAAGTGCACAGTATCTGTGTGAATGATTATTTGGCAACACCTAAAAATCATTACTGTATTAATGCCAAACGTAAGACAATTCCAATCTTAAATTATTAACATGTGTGTCATGTAAAAAAAAAAAAAGGTCAAAAAGATTGAATTCTTAGAGTGATAGTCTAATGAGGGTATGATACTTTAAATACTTCTGAAATTAATTTGGGTTTTGATGCCTTCTTTGATGTATTTCTGTTTTCTTTGATAGTCTTAGAGTTGTCCGCGTTTAACAGTTAAAGATTATGGGTCTGATCCATTTCAAAGATGCAGAAAGCTTACAGCTCCTTGAAACTTCTATGAGTGTTA